CACGACACCTACAAATAAGCAAACTGTCATGCCACCTAAGTGGGCGAATCATCAGCGTTGATGTTGCTCTGCCAATAACGAAGATGTTCCAGGTCAGGTTGCATCTTCAGGTACACTGCTCTCCGCCTACGTCAGAGTGACATCAGCGACAGATACCGAAAGAATAGGCCATGCAAATTAAGCAGGAGATAATAACGTTTGCTACGGGACAGAACTACTCCGGCACACTGACTGGTCGAGCGAGAACTTCCGTTTGCCGGTCACACGGTTTTATCGCTGCGCGTTTGGTGTCCTGCTTTCGTTTCGTATTTCTCCACATTGACAAGCCTCAACAGCTGTTAATCTGGCTTAATTCACACGAGGTAAGCTATTTGTTTATCGATCGGATGTCCTTCCATAGCTCGATCCGTGCATCACATACATTACTCGGTGCCTTGTTGACAGTTCGGTTTGACAGCTGGCATTTATTCGGTTCGCTTTTCCCCTCAGACTTCCGTTCGGAATGTGCACGAGAGCTTCCTAACTCATATCTCGCACTGTTTCACACACTACTTGATTCGATAGCTCTCCAGTTTGTTGCTCTTTGTCGAGTGTTTGGCCACATTTTCTGAACAGCATTCCACCACTGTCGGGATGGCAATTCATTCAAGCACAGCAATACAATGAATACGTATTCGACCAACTTGACAAATGATGTTTGGCTCAACGGGTTACACTCCAACGTACAATCTGTGGGTGTGTACTGGTTCCATACAAGTATTCTAGAACGGCTACCCCTTGTCCGATTACACCGAAACGGACACTTTCATGGGGATCATTTAGAGAACTGATTGTGGGAATTGCAGAACAACCTTTCCTCGGATATAACTCCTGTTAGTTCACAAAAAGGGGATAGACACTTGGGCTCGCTAGCGGTCTTTCTGAGGTTTGAATCCCGGACGTCCATCTGTCGAAGCGAGCGCAACCAAATTACCACGGCCGAATAGGCGATGTGATTAGTTTTGCTTAACGCACCCACTGACGATTCAGTGATTCTCCCGGTTTCGACGATCGACTGACACGGCTGTCAGAACTTCTCGATCAGATAAAACCACGGGCCGTTGAAACCCGCTGCACAGTTTTCGATGGTTCTCTCTGACCCACTCGTGCAGAGTTGGGCCACATTCACTAACTGCATAGAAAAAGAAGGGGTGATGTTCGGACTGTGCTGCCTAATTCACTTTACACGCAATTCGTCAAAAAAGCGTCTATCATGGCCGTCGTCAGCTGTATAAACTGTGTTCATGTTGTACAGTGCCCAAAGCTATCACAGTTTCGTTCGTCGATGAAGAGGAGGGATATCTTTTTGAGAAATACACTCATTTGCAAATCAATTTGGTTTTCACGAGAGACTCAGCTGAATCTCTCGTTTATGACATTCCGAAAGCAGTCCAAGTTGGGTTCAAGCAGATCATAAGGTTGACGGAAACTCGGAGACTGCGCCTACCTGATGAGCCCCAAGGAGGGCGAAACCAGTCGTGGGCTGTCGACTAATTTTCAGCAACCTTGTGAGTAGTTTCCTTTAGGAGGGATATCTGCTCTATTAAACGGAAGTTCAGGGCAGTATCATTGGCAGATCCGAGTTGATGCGTTAACCGCACCAATGCTTGTTCCGTCGCGCCTCCTGTTCAAAAAAACAGTCAATTTGGGCAGACGGTAAGAAGTGAGAAATCAAAATTCAAAGTTTCGGAGACCATGATGGTGACAGGACCACCAAACAGAGGTCGACGTTTATTTGTCAGGCCGATAGCTGAGACCGGTCACAGAAGATGACAAAGAGCTTGCTAAAGACGACCATAACTGAATCGTGGGACAGTGAGAGATACCTGTTGCTTGGGGAGAAAGTTGCTTGGGAAGAAAACCAATCCTCATTGTAATCGATTAACTGAAGTCCGAAATGTCCATCAGATCTACTAGCCTATCTGTCCTTGCCATCTATAGAGAACCACAAGATTCACAAGCGACCCGCTCACACCGGACTAAACTGTAACATTTCGAAAAAATAATCCTTTCATTGTTTTCGGAGCGTTGACAGGATGGTACTTCCATTGAAGAATGTGTCCAGCACCAGAAGTTGCGTCATTTGGGACATGTGTTGCGTATGCCGAACCATCGTTAGATGTTTTCCATGCCCAACCCAGAGTGGCGCCAACAGAGAGGTGGCCAACCCATGACCTGGCAGAGGAGTATGAAGGAGATCACGAAACGCTTGGGTGCTGTCGGTGCTACTCGCCTTCCAGGATGGGGACCGCGTGATCCTCACTGTGCCTGGTTGGAGACACTACAAGATATGGCTGCCAACCGATGTCAATGGCGTTC